TATCTGTAGCAGTGCATGTTCTGGTCTAATTTGTAAGGTAGAATTGAGGTCATGATAGTGGGGGGAAGGAAGCACCAAAGAACTAGAGGAAAGCTGTGTTTCATGGGTGCTATACTGCACCCTGACTGGCTCATCTCTTCCTTGTGACCCCTCTGAGGGGATGTCCAGTTGTCTACAGATGGGCATTGGGTCTCTGCTCCATACCCTCCCACCACCCACTCATATTGGTTATTATTTTGTTCTTGGTCTTAGATGCCTGATCCCATCGACACCTCATGATCAGACAGCTGGTGTGCTTCGTTGCTTCTCAGCTAGATGGCCACTTGTTTATGTCATGCTTTTAAGACCCCAAACGCTATATTTTTTGATATGCGGGCACCATCAGCTTTCTTCACATTTGTTATGTACCCATTTTGTCTTTGGCAATCATGTTGGGAAGGTGAGCATCACAGAATACCAGATTGTTCTTGTGTTGAGGGAATAATTGAGTTGAGGCCCAATGTCCATCTGCAACCTTAATTCTTAACATACGAGATATGAGTACATAGTTCTACTCCTCTTTCGTTATATATTTACATATGCACATGCCTGTATTTAGACCTTTTAAGTTCCTTAAACTTTAAATGCAATTACCAGAAGGAACCTTCCAAGCAAAAATGCATGCAAATCCAAAATGTTAGCAAAACCGTCAACCTTTCTATATACATTAGTAGAGCTTTACTGAAATTGAGTCACCCTTATTCCCAGTTTTTTTCCAACTATGCATTACAACTATCATTACCAACAATCAAGAATGTGATCAAAACTATCACCTATTCTATAAACATCATTGTCCTTTCAGGTTGAAATGAAAAAACAAACCCTATTTTGTACATAGGGCCTTGATGTATATTTTAGTTTTACATAAAAAGACGGTAATTCTGTATTTATTTTGTCAGCCCTTAATTCAGTGCATATCAACTTCTTCTCCATAATGGAAAACAGGAAAATGACTATTTGTACTTCATTCACACTGAAGTGGTAACTGGAGTGTTAAAAGTCCTGGATGAGTTTACTCTCAATGGGACATGACTGGTCCAGGATGAAGATTAATCTTAATTGGCAAGGCCTGGCTCATTTACCATTCAAGAATTACTCTATGAAAAACTTTTGAAGAGTTGTGTAACATAATCACTTATAGATGTAGAAACTAGAAATGCTTGTAAGTTTTAACTGTAGCCATTTTCTTGTCAAGCAAGGGAAGGCATAATCATGAATATTCAAAGTCCGCCTAAGCCCAGAGCTCGATATTTTAGTCAACGTTAAGTTACGAACTTAAAGGCCATCCGCAATCTAAATGCGTCAAAAAGTTAATACAAATACTAGTCTTAAGCAGTCCAACAAGTCTAAGCCACATTTATTTGCACATGTATAATAATGGGCAACATAGTCCAACTTCACACAAGTTTATAAAACAACAAATAACCACTTGTTACACTTATGTGTTATCTTGATTACACACTCAGGTCTAGATGAACTTCCCTCATTTTGTAAACTTTCATACAATACTTCCATAGAAAACACTTAATTGGCATGTTTCAGTTAGAGCCAACACAGAAGTTAAGACAAGACCACAAAATTGGAAACCATGTTTAGAAGACTTTTCTATTCCCTCCCCTAAACAGAATTTTTTTCTCCAACAGATATACAAGGCTTTACCACACCAGAAACTAAGGAGAGACAAAAGAACAATGTTCCAGTAATCAAAGCAAATGCCTTATCATTTTGTTATCTATTGAAGCTTAATATATGGTTTAAATATGCAAAAACCAGGGAAGCTACTATTAAATTAACAACGGAGTTGTAGAAAACATAAATGGATTTTAACGTCAAGAGACTTATGCTCTCCATGAAAGCTGCAAAGATCTGACTTTGCAACTCAAAATAATTATCTAAGGCAAACAAGTGAGGAAACCTTCAACAACACAATCATGTTCGGAATCTATTGATAAAGGCTGAAAATGATAAAGAGAATATTTATTATACAAGTATCAAGGAGGGCATCTCAAAAAAAAAAAGAATGCACATTTATTTCTACAAAAGCAATGTATGACACAGAATTAGAAGGGAACAGACTTTAAAGATTTACCTATTAAAATATACAGATTCTTAATGAAGAGTATAGGGTATTTAAAAAAGATGACAAGGGATGTTAATCTTTTTTTATTGTTATTTTTTTACATATTTTGGAACCTCACATAATTTTGATAAATAACTCTTACAAAATTATGCAAAAAGTACAAGAATGTCTGGTAAACAAAGTCTGTATTTTCCAAAAAGATTTTTTACAACACGCAATTCTTAAGGCAGCATCCTCCTTACAAGGAAAGGTAATCCTTTTACTCATCAAGAAATCTTCTGCTGCAAGTATAGGCTAAGAAAGCCTGGCTTCTTCCATTAACGCCTTTTGTCTTTCCTGTCTGCTTTTCGGTCTCTTTCACTTCTTGAAGATCTTTTGCCTGATCGACTACTCTCTGACATAGACCTTTTCCTGTCGGACCGAGAATTCTTATCCTTTGAGCCTTTTGTATCTCTACTACTACCACCTTTTGAAGATTTGTGACTTCTTTCTAGTCCCGAAGTATCCCTTCGCTTCCGATCCACGCTCCTTCTGTGCTTTCTATCTCTATTATGTCCCCTGCCCCTACTCCGACTTCTACTCTCACTACTACTTGTAGTGCTGCTGCTACTGTCTCTGCTGCTGCTGCCACTAGTACTCGAGCTACTACTGGAACTACTTCGACTACTGCTGCTGCCGCTGCTAGAACTGCTGCCACTGCTGCTACTGGTTGAACTGCTACTAGAACTACTACTGCTACTGCTTCTACTTCTACTCTTGCTAGTTTTATTTCTAGCCCGACCTCTGCTCCTGCTCCTAGTTTTCGTTTTGCCTTTGCTGTCTACAAGCACTGCCAAGACTGGCTCTGGTGGCACTTCACTGAGTCTCACAGATTCTACAGGAAATTCCTTCCTCTCAGGTAGTGAATGCCCTTGCTCCTGGATCACCTGAGGTGGTGGCTGTGAAACAGTCAATTGCAAAGCCTCAGGCTGAGAAAGAGGTGGGGGCTGAAGTGTTGGCTGGGGTTGGGATTGGGACTGAGATTGGATTTGGGGTGGAGGTTGATTGATTGGCTCTGGTTGGGGCTCAGATTCCTTTTCATTTTCCTCAGGCTCCTTTTCTATCTCTACAACACTAGTACTATTCTCTTTCGCAGGAGAAAGAGCTTTACATTCTTTATCTAGCTCAACTTCAAACTCCATCTCTGGCTCCATTTCTTTGCTAGTTTCATTTTCTGAAGGTTCTATACTTTCAACTTGATTTGTTTCCATTGTCTCCTGCTCAACAATCGCATGTTTGGCATTGTCAGCCATTTCTAGCACATCCATAACTTCTTCAGGGTGACTATCCTGCTGCTTTTCACTTTCCCTTGCCCCCATTTCTTCCTCCACCTTAACCTCTATTTCCTGCTTCTGCTCCTCCTCCTCCTGTTCTTTTTCTGGATCACTATGAACTATACCTACTTCCTTTTCCTCTTCCTCTCCTGCTTCCTCTATTTCTACATCATTGTGCTGATTACCTGTCTCCTCCAATTCTTCCTCACGCTGAGCCATCTTACCCTCTTCTTGTTCCGCCTTCTGTTCTTCATTACGCACCACCTGATGCTCTTTTTCCTTCATTGATTGTCTTCTAGGCCTAGCCTCCATTTTATTTATTTGTTCTGCAAATTCGATGCGTCTACCTTCAAATAAAGCTAAAAAATAAAAATTTACATGTATAAAATGTAGTGTGATTAAAAAATAAAACAGTATTTTTACTACTGGTCATAGATTGTCATTAGTTTCACCTAAATGTATTTTTGTAAAAATATGGTGACATAAAAACCCCACAAATAATTATAATTGGCACGAAGAGAAAAAAGATCCTAAAAAAATAATACCGAATAGTTAGCAGGCAAACTAAATAGTATCTATCTAGTGAGATAAAGAACACCACCACCCCCAACAAATACTGCTGTTCAAATTAACACCTGGTCTAGATAAATATTTAAAGAGAATTCCTTTTCAAACAAAGCTACTTTATGGTATGACAAAATTGGCATTTATTTTTTTTGATTCCCAAGGAGACAAATCACCTAATCTAGCGGTTCCCAACCTATGGGTTGTGACCCCCTGGGGGTCTAATGACCCTTTCACAAAATTACAGGTAGGAAGTATCAACAAAATCAATTTTGGTTGGGGGGTGGTCACCACAACATGAGAAACTGTATTAAAGGGTTGTAGCATTAGGAAGGTTGAGAACCACTGACCTAATCATTCTTAGCAGTGCCTACTCTTCTACGTGTGCACTTTCTCCGTGTCCTTTGTATCTTACTCAAATACTCAAACTATATACACACATACACCACCTACACAAGTCTCAGCTGAAGCTCCATTATTAAACAAACGCACTTGCACCCAAACTCTTTAGTGTTAACTTAAATTCAAAATATTCTAAACTGTAATTATTTTAAGAAACAAGTATGTTTACACACTACCTTGATCATCAAGGAAGTTTCAGTGGGCTTCTTTATATACACTTACCATTCATTTTTCTCTGTGACTCTTCTATTAGTTTTTGGGTAGCTGGACACATTCTTCCAGGAATATAGAACAAATGGGGCTTTGTCTTAGTTCTTATATATTTAATTATCTTGGCATTATGCTCATTCCATTCTTCTTGCTAAAGAAAAGGTAAAAGGTCAGTGCTTTTGTAAACAAAGGACTGTCAATCTTAGGATTTCAAAACCGCACTTACCAGCTGCGCAAGCTCAACTTTCTGTTCTAAAAGCCGCAGTTCTGTCTGTTTAGCACGCCTCTCCTCAAACAGCTCTCGCCTCTCATTTTCAACCTGTTTTCTCTCTTCTTCTGCCTGCACTTCAAGTTTTTGTTCAATTTCCTGTCGTCTCTTTTGCTAAAATTAAGCAATTTGCTTTAATATTTGTTTTATAAAAAGAAAATAATCAAAGTACATTTGGTTTCAACTAAATTAATATTTTTAAAAGGGGGGAAGGGAGCCCTTCATCTTTATATTTCATGTTCAATTGTTTTCAAATCATAGACTAACAAAATAGTCTCGGTAGCTAATAAACGAATCACTTTCCCTTCATGTACTTTAGAGAATTACCAACTTATTTCCTCAAGCATTTCTCAAAACGTATTCTTCAAAAGCACTAAGATGCTCCATTCCCTAATGGAATTTATTTATTTTTAAAGTCATTTTATTGGGGGCTCTTATCACAATACATACATGCATCCAGTGTCAAGTGCATTTGTACAATTGCTGCCATCATTTAAAAAACATTTTCTTCCTATTTGCATCCTTGGCATCTGCTCATTTATTTTCTCATCTCTCCCTCACCCTTGATAATTTATAAATTATCATTTTGTAATGTCTTACACTGACCGATGTCAACCTTTACCCACTTTTCTGTTGTCTGTCCCCCAGGGAGGGTATTATATGTAGATCATTGTAATCGGTTCCCCCTTTCTACCCCCCCTTCCCCTCCTGGTATTTGGGCAATGAATGTACAAATGTGCTTTACACAATTGATGTATGTATGGATTGTGATAAGAGGTCTATGAACCCCTAATAAAATGATTTTAAAAATAAATAAAATATAAATATATTAATATATAGGTGGAAGTAAAAAAAAATAAGAAAAATTAATGCTTATGATAATCATAATTTCATTTACCAATGAGCACTTAGGGTTTATAATTATGTACAGTATATGCATGATTTGCTTATTCAAAGTAAAGAAAAATGGAATAAGAAGGCTAGTCAATAAAGGCATTGTCCTTCAAAAAATATTTTTATTGGGGGCTCTTATATCTCATCACATCCATACATTCATCCAGTGTGTCAAGCACATTTGCCACCATCATTATTTTCAAAGCATTCTCTTCCCACTTGAGCTCCTGATATCAGCTCCCCATATCTCCCTCCCTCCCCTACGAACCTTTGATAAATTAAAAGATTACTGTATGGCCGGATCAATACCAGGCTGGCTTCTAGCAACAAGTGACCTTGAGTCTCCCCCACCCATGTGGAGCTGACTAGAGCTATCTGAAACAACTAGTAGCAAGTGGCCTTGAATCTCCCACACACACCTGCGGAGCTGACCAGAGCTGGCTAATGACCTGCTTTGTTCTCGACCTGCTGCTCTGCACCCAGCACCGGCATGGCCCATTTGGCTCAGTGCCCACTTTGTTCTTGCCCACCACTCTGCACCCCGCACGGCCCGTTTGGCTCAGTGCCTGCTTTGTTCTTGCCCATCACTCTGCACCCAGCACCAGGAAGACACCTTACATTCCAGAAAGCCGGACATATCTGTCCATATAAGCAGCAGCCCTGTAGCCTGCAATGAGATTCCCCTAGCCGCCCGGACATATAAGCAGCAGCCTGTAGCCTGCAATGCGACTCCCCTAGCCTGGACATTGTGGACTGTGGGACTTCACCCAGGCTGGGTTTTTTTTAGCCCTAATAAAGCCTGTTTGTTCTAATTCGACTGATTTAGTTTCTGGCGCCTCTCGACTACCTTAAAATTACTATTTCCATATCTTACATCATCCTGTTGCCCCTCACCCACTTTTCTGTTATTCATCCCCCTGGGAGGGGGTTCTAGTTTGATCCTTGTGATCGATTCTTTCTCCCCCCACCCGCCCCTAATCCTCCTGGTTTCGCTACTCTCATTGTTGGCCCTGAGGCGTTTATTTATCCTGGATTCCCTGTGTTGTGGGCTCTTATCTGTAGCAGTGTGCATGCTCTG